ATATATATATATATATATATATATGTGTGTGTGTGTGTGTGTGTATATATATGTATGTATATATTGTTTTTATATTTTTGGATTATATTGAACTGGTTATTCTAAACTTATTTTGGTCTCCTTCCACAAACTTATTCTGTAATGTATTTATTCTTATTTGGTTTTACTATTAACAAACAAACATTTTTATTCTTCAGACGTTGATAGACCAGCAAATAAATTTTCTGAAGATGATGCCATCAAAGGGATGAAGGGCTACATTCAATTGGCTTTGACGTCACTGATGAAGTAGTTGACAAGTAGTTGACAAGTTCAATGCTATGGTAACTACAAACCATCTTGATGTTTTGCTGAACAACATTGTTGATAAAGTAACTGTACAAACATATTGGTGCAGAATAACAAGGGCTACTCTTTGTGACGCTGCATCGAAGCAACTACTTGATATTGTAGTGAAGTACTGGATTAATTAAAATTAGAGCCAATGCTTTTTTGAAAGTATATCTGAATGTAAAGAGGGAAAGTGGTAAGATTTCAAAAAAGGGAGAAAAATCTCTAAGGAAGGAGCTGCAATAATATGCCATATCTGGGTTTTGTATAATAATGAATACATTATTTTTGGAAATAAATATGCAGGTGATGTTTTACAGTATTTTTTGTTTGTCGATTAATATTATGTACTTTTATATTGTTGGGTAGAACAGAAAAACTTTCCAAGTTCTGCATGCTTCACAATTTAAGAGACATCAAGATATGACAAATTGTAAGAGTAACTACCAAATAATTAACTTGTGATTTAAGTGAGGAATGAGTGAGATCATTTTGAGGCTTGTCATCCCAAAACATGCATACTGTCGCTAAATATTAAACTAAGAAATCAGCATACAATGTGGCAGTATTGTATACCTTTACTCGTAACTTTGGCAATAGTAAGCCGATTCCAGTTAACATAATTATTTTAAAGGTTATAATGTGGAGAATATGAATATTTTTAAAATTCTATTTTCTTTTTCTGGCCACTGATGCCGGTTTTGGCATGACAAGCCTCATCTGTTTGAGAGTGATTGCGTATTTGAAATATAAATAATATAATGACATCAGCAGAGAAGGCAACCTCAAATCTCATTTGTAATTTGGTGGCTCTGAAAAGAGCCGTTTGGTTTGGGAAAATCGGTACATCACACGTGATCTGGCTTCCTTCTTTGAAGAGGCGATTCGTCTATTCGTCGTTCATCACTCTAAAAAAAAAAAGATACAAAAATATTTATAGCAAAATCACAACATAAAATATGTGTGCAGTTACTGTGGAAAGAACTACTGTAAGGTCTATTGACAAAAAAACCCAAAAAGGGTTACATTTTAAATAAAATAAGTAACTTTTTATAATATTAACTAACTACTCTATACAATATTATTAGCTTAAATCCTGTTTACCTGTAATAATATAACTGTGAGGAAATTCCTTTTCTATGAAAATGACAGCAATAATAATATACAATATAGGAAGGACTAAATAATAAAAGAAAGAAAGCACCTCTCTGCCATGATTGTGCTAGGCCTCAACCTGGCCTAAAAATACAGTATGTTCATATTTAAACAACACAAGTAAGTAGGCCTCGGCCTAAACGTCTCTTTTCCATTTTTGTATAACTTAAAAAAGGGTCAAATTTGACAATCGTCACTGTCAGCAATTTGTGACCTGGACGAAATCGTACTGCACTATAAATTACTAGGCCTAGGTAGGCCTAAAAATCAGTAACCTACACGACATAGAGAGGCCACATAAACAAGCTTTATTCTCTGGTGACTTCCGGTCCAACAGTTCTCCGGGGTCACTTTCTGTTCTTCCTACCTCAACCGGTCGTGATCGGCCACGGTTAATTCGTGTACCAAATAAAAGCTACGGCTTTCTACTTTCGATAGAACTAAATTTCATTAACAGGAGACAACCGAGACTGTTTTTAATTGCAATTTATTTACATCACTTTCGTTGCTACAATAGAAATAAGCCAATACTTACGAATGATGAAAGAAACAGTTATTTTAGGCCGATTTTGACGTTTTAAACATGGATATCCTCGCTAAATACAGATCTACCTGAATTCCTCAAACACGCACACAAACAAGCCATGGAAAATGAACTGCGCATGTGTCAATGTTTTGTTTATATTTGTTTGTTTGAATATACATGGTATTTACTGTCTCTTATACACATCTAGATGTGTATAAGAGACAGGTATATATGAATGTAAAGAGGGAAAGTGGTAAGATTTCAAAAAAGGGAGAAAAATCTCTAAGGAAGGAGCTGCAATAATATGCCATATCTGGGTTTTGTATAATAATGAATACATTATTTTTGGAAATAAATATGCAGGTGATGTTTTACAGTATTTTTTGTTTGTCGATTAATATTATGTACTTTTATATTGTTGGGTAGAACAGAAAAACTTTCCAAGTTCTGCATGCTTCACAATTTAAGAGACATCAAGATATGACAAATTGTAAGAGGAACTACCAAATAATTAACTTGTGATTTAAGTGAGGAATGAGTG